GGGCCGCACAAATGCAGAACCAAAAGAGCTTAACGATATACGCGTGAGATGAGATGGCAGGTGCAGACAGGCAGGGGGCACAAGGAAAGAAACCCGTAGGAACTGGTGTCAGGGCCTGGCACGACTAGGGCACAAAGGGGCATTGGCCCGTGCTGGCAAACAGGGAACCAGCGTCGACGCTGATGCGTGCAGAGCTGGTCAAGGTGAAGCTTCACATCGGGGCTGCTACGCTAGGCATTAAGATGCAGGGTACTCACTAACATGTCCCGTTGGCAGCCTCCCTCCAATCCTGGTCAAGACAGACTGTTTTGCTGGGAGGCTTTGGCTATGTTGTCCTGTTGCTTTCTTTGCCCGAGGAGTTTGCCCATCTGCAAATGCTGACTGTGAACTTCCTCCCCCACATCCCAGGAGGTAGGCAAGGCTTAACCTGGCTTGTGTATAATGTGATCTTAGGTCGCTGGTGAGCTTATTAATAATACATACGTTATAATTAGAGGGGAAATGTGGCCTGGTGAAAGGAGCACTGGATTGGGTCTCAGGAGACGTGGGTTCTGATCCCGGCTCTGCCACTGGCCTGCTGGATGACCTTGGGCAAGTCACATCCCCGCCTTGGTGTCTCAGTTTCCCCACCAGTAAAGTGCAGATAATGACTTAACTATGCTGAAGATCCCCAGCTAGGAGCCCCAGCCTGGCATGTGTCAAAGCCCTTCCCACCCAGCTGTGTGTAGACGCAAAAGGCCCCACCTGGGCATGCCCGGACTGGGCAGGGTCAGGCAGGTATGTCATGAAGCTAAGCAGCAGGTTTTGAGTCGACCTCTTCCTGTGTGGTCTCTAGTGGGGTATTAAGAGGGTTTACTTCTCCAAGCTGGCAGCAGGGGCTAACATGGGGCAGACAGTGGTATAGTACCAGAGATGGCAGCTGGTAGATCCTCGCCCAAGCTTTGCCCCCGGTCTCTGGCAGTGGCTGGGGGAACATTGTGGCATCTGCAGCCCTGCTCCCTGGAGTGGGAGGAACTCTACCCGGCTGGAGCCACTGGTTCTGGGGTGGGGTCCTTACCCAGTCCCCTCCCCTCTCCCTCGTAAATGAGGAGAGGGCAGCAGGGTAGGGGCTGGGCTAGCACCAGCCTGGCTCCCTCTTCGAGGGAGCCATCAGCAGTTTCTCCAATCCCCGTATAAACTGGTCCCCGCAGCGAGTCCCCCACCATCACCCTCTTCCCCGTGATGCTCTTTCTACTCTTCCCCTCTTTTGTTAAATCAGAAGAAAGGGGAGCAGACTGATCCCCCTGTGCCTGCCATCAGAGTAGGGCGCCCCATGGGGAGTCAGATTAACTCTAGTGTGTATGGCCAGCACCTAACATAAAGGAACCTTGGTTTCTCTTGCTGGGGCTACTGTAATGGGATAATAGGTACCGTTGGGATTTGGGAAGGGCTCAACTTAGGTAGGAGAGTAAATGATCTGTACCTCCCAGCGCAGGGGACCTGTTAGGCTCTGGAGCCTCCTAGTTGATGCTTCTGGCCGGGAACTGATGATGCGAGTGGGGAATGGGGGTGAGGAAGGGATGGCCTCTCAGCAGAGAGCTGTGGGCCAGGTGTCTGGGTGGGGGGAGGGGAGTTGAGCCGACCCGACCCTCCAGTCAGATGAGTTATGGCTGCTGCCGTGGGCTGGAAGTGAATGGAGGGTGAGGGCAGGATAAGGCAAACCCAGGAAGTGTCTCCACCCTGCTGCTCTCTTCCATGAGTGATGAGACCCGAGAGCGGCCCGGAGTCCTTTGCAGCGGGTTCCCTGTTCGGTGTGGGATGGTCCTTGTGGCCTGCTGCCCCAGTGGCTAATCGCATCCCAGTGGTGGGCTGGCAGGCCCATTCAGTGCCTCGCGGCTGGGGACTGACCCAGAACAGCTGGCTCGCCCCTTGATCACACTCCCGTGAATGGAGCTGGGGGTGTGGAGGGAGGGGCGGGCTGGGCGCTGGCCTTCCATCCCTGGAGACCTCTGTTCGCATTTCCCCTTGTGATCCCAAGGAGAAATGCGGTCGGTGGCCCCCCACCCCCTCCCTGGGGCTGGCTCCTGCTCCGACGCTGGTGCAAGGCTGGAGGGGCTTTGCGTGGGATTCACGTTGGAACAGAGCCCCTCTGCCTCGCAGATGTTCGCCCATGTCAGAGAACCACCAGGCCAAGGCCACTCCCTGGCACACCAGGCAGCAGGAATAGGGGAATCTCCTCAGCCAGGGAGAAGGTAGATGAGGGTGGGCGTGGCGGTGCCTGGCTGAGGGGCCTCCAGCGCTGCGGGCGCCCTTCAGGCTGATGCCCTGACCCCACCTTTGCTGGCCAGAAGGGGCAGTGACAGTGTTACGCTTCTGGCCGTGTCTCTCCGAGGCTGGATCTGCCATGGTCTGGATCTGCCTCTTGTCTCGTGTGGGCTCTGGACTGGTTGCCGGGGAATGTTCCAGTGATGCTCTGTGCCCTGATTACTGTATCCCTGGCAATGGGGGGTTGCTTTTCCTCCTTCCCCCAACTCAGGCTGTTTGTCGCTGTCCTGCAACCCCGTGCGTTTCCAGGAACATAGGAACGGCCAGGCTGGGTCAAAGCTGAGGTCTGCCTAGCCCAGGGTCCTGTCTGCAATGGTGGCCAGCACCAGGTGCCTCGGAAGAAGGTATAAGCAACCCACAACAGGCAGGTATGGGACAATCTACCCCCTACATTAGGTTTCATCCTAATCCCTAGTAATTGGAGAGCCCTGAGGTTTAATATCCCTTCCCCAAATTTTATCCTCATAAAAATATCCAGAGCGATCATTATTCGTAATCCACGTAAATGTCCATTTCTGCCCCTTTTTCGTCAGTTGGCTTTTCAAGTCTTCACTCCCGTCCTCTGCCAACCCCATCTTGCACACAGTCGCAGCATTACCAACTCAAAGCATTGAAGAACGATGCACCAGACCCCTCCAGAATCACGAGCTAGGCTTTAAAAATCGTCAATATTAAAAACCTAATAAATGGAGGAGGTCTCTTTATTTGCATTCCGGCACTGGAGTGTGGGGGTGGTTTGTGTCATAGTTTTAATCTTTTCTCCACACCTATGAGGGCTAGAAACCACTTTTTTAGCGAGAGCAGAGAGTCTCACATCATCCCAGGACTGCAGGAGCTGTGGGTTTAAGAAGAAACACCAAATGTGTTGCAAAGACTCGTGATAAAATCATGAGAGTTGTCAACACTGCAACCAAAAGCTGGTGAGAGATGGGAAGGTAAAAGGGGCTGGATAACGTGGCCAACAGGTGAGAATACAGGAAGGCTGGGGATGAAAGGACTCTGCCAAGTTCTGCAAGGCCAAAGTATTAGCCCTGAACTCGCAGCCCCGCAATTAATGCAAAAGCTTTCATGGCTTTTCACTTTTGGGGGAAAATGGGCTTCTAGAACTGCCTTGGGCTGGGGCAAGTGAAACTAAGTAGCCACCAGGGTAAAACTGACCAGGCTAGTTCTAAACTCCCTGAAATACAAGCAGATGGCAGAGCTGGAAAAGCAGGCCCTGTTTGTTTGGGTTTTTGGCTACAATCCTTTTTTATTTAATAACAGACAATGCTGTTAATAAGGCCAGCAGGATAGTAACTAGATAGCAGTACAGATGCTTTCACAAACAGTGTCCCTCCTAAGATGAATCGCAGGTGAGTTAGACTGGCTGCTGTTTTCCTCTTCCAAAAAGTTTGTACCTTCCCCTCAAGGTGTGTGTGTGTAAAATGGGGCCTTTTGTTCCTGCCTGTGGAGCGGGCTACAGTCGTTCAGAGCTGCGTGGCTTGATGCTCTGCAGGGAGAGCGAAGGGTTCGGTGTCTGGGACCTATGGCTTCCATCTCTGCAGTCGTCTTCATGGGAGACCGCGGAATCTGTCAACACCAGTCCCAAATTGGGAGGCGAGTGGGGCTGCGGCAGGACAAGGCTGCTGGGAAGTGAGCTCTGGTGTCTTGTGGTGAGCACGGGCTCCTGCCTTGGTCTCCTTTCACCCAGGAAGGGCCGGCAACACCTTGGCTTCTCCTCTCTTTAAATCCCATGGGTGAGTCTGAGCCCTGTTCTCAGAAGTCACCAAGTGGCCTTCCTCAGAGGTGAAACTTGCATGTCATTTTTCATTCCTTCTCTGTCTCTCTCGCTTTCCCTCTCCCCCCACCCCCTCTTTTTTTCCCCCTCTCCCTGTCCCATGATGCTCTGCACCTCAGCAGGCTGGTGCCATATAAAAGAGTGGCTGCTTTTGCTGCCCGCGGATGTTCTCACGATGGCAGGAGGGGGGAAGAGCCTGGCACCGTTCAGATGCGAGATCTCCAGCTCCTGTCAGCCTCCTCCTTGCCTGGTCTTCTGTCGCCTTCTTTCTTCCTGCCCCACCCCCTCTCTTTGCCCCCTTCCCGACATTCGGAAGCTCTCCGGAGGCGGTGGGCACAAGGCGGGCATCTCGGAGGGGTCAGACTGGCACCGGCCCGCGCGGTAGGGGGGAGGCCCACGCTGAGAGGTTGGTAAACTGCTGCTTTTCTTTCTCTCTCTTTTTTATTTTTTTTTTTTTAAAGTAAACTAGTTGCTGTGAATTTTTGATTCTTCCTACTTTGTTGGCTCACTCCCTGGATCTGCAAAGCAGGGGAAACAGACGGGGGAGGGGGGAAGGGGGGGTTGTGGGACAGAGAGACACTAGGAGTTGGGATGGAGGTTGGCAAGGAAGGCGTGAGACAGAGGGAGAGAGAATAAAGCTGGCACAGGCTGGAGGGCTGCCAAGGCTGCTTGGCAGCAATGCCAGGGAAGGCTGGGGTGGCTCGGGGCTGATGGTGCGGTGTGCAGGGAGTGGGGGAATACAACGGGAGGAGAGGTCGAGGGTACGATGTGGGGGGGGGGGGGCTCAAAGCCTTTGCCTTTTTTTTTTTTTTTTTTGGAAGATGATGCAAACAAATCTCGCCTTCCCACATATTGTTGGTAGCCGTCAATGGCTGTGTGTGATTTTTTTTTTTTCCGCGGAGCTGGGAGTGGTGTTTGGGGAGTGCAGCCCGCTCCTGCACTGATTGAATTGAATCCGGGCCAAGGAAATTATGTAGCCTGCCTGTCCTCCTCGGAAGAGGGGAGAGAGCCAGGGAAGGAATCGTCTGCGAACTGCCAAGCTGCCCGGCTGCGCTGCCAGCGAAACGTCTTGCAGACCCGAGCCCAACTCTAGGCTTTTGTGTCTATTCCCCTCCCTGGCCTCCAACTCTCTCCAGTCTATTCACATTTGGCTACTAAACCTTTGGAGTCCTTAGCAGGTAGCCAAGGGCAGCTAGGAAAATCAGGACAAGAGATCCCCACCTCCGTTGCAGCTATGTGTTTTGGAAGCAGAATAAAATGGCTCCAGTCCGGGTATGTGATTGGGAGAGCTGGGGCTCGGGGTGGGGAACGGGGCTTGGGCCTCCTTGTAAGGGGCTGGGTTGCGTGAAGTCAGGATCTTCCTTACATATGGAGGGATGCTCCCTCGTGCAATGGGTGGTGATCACTCGGCCTGATCTTAAGGCCCCTGGAGTTGCCGGCGTGGCCCTTGCCCTGGGATCGACTGGGCTCCGAGGTCTAGGAGCCGCCCTGGCTGTGTCCTGGCAGTGTTGCTGTGGTGGGGGGGCATGGCGTGGGAGGCCGGGGCTAGAGCTGGGAAGCGTTATGTCTGCTAAGGTTGGGATGAGGACCATGGAGAGTCATTGTTCCACCTGACTGGACAGGTGGGGGAATATGCAGACACTGGGCTCATCAGATGAGCCTTGCGGGGTGCGGGAGGGCAGGAGGAGGCTCCATGATTAGCAGGGAGAGGATGGAAGAATCTGATAAACCCATCTTGGAGTGGTCGGCGTCGGGGATCTTTCAGGTCAATTGAGAGCTCAGCCTCTGAGCCTGCCGGCCTTCTGTAAGGCCCCCTCCATGTAGAGATGGCCCTGTATGGCCCACCGAGCCGTTCCTCTCTCACTGCTGCACCTGGCTGGCCGTTTGGGGTCGCTCTTGGGGGCTGCAGAGCGAGCTGGTGAGCACGGCCCCGGGAGGGATGGGGCTGTGATTGGGTTATTCCCTTGGGGTGGGACTGTGTGCTGGAGCTGGCTCTTATGACCCTGCCATGCCACCGCACAGAAGCGGGGAGCTGATGGGAGGGGGGTGGGCAGCAGGCCTCCCTTAGTGATGATTCCCTAGTGGGGGGGGGTCCCTAGACCGCCCCACTCGGCTCCCAGGTTCTGGCGGAAGGTCTGTTAGGAGAGCGTGTGAGACTGAGGCGGATACAGTATAAGCCGGGATCTGGTGCTAAGTGAATGCTGGCAGCAGTCTCCCCGTCACGCAGAATTGCTTGCGTAGCTGTTAGGTTGCTTAGAGCTCTGCGTGTGGGTGTGTGAATCCGAGAACGATGAGCTCTGGCGAGGAGGAGCCATTTAAGGCAAAGGTCTTTTCTTCCAGCCCTTTACTGGATGGAAGGAAGGAAGGCCGGTCCTGAGGGGAACGCGCTGCATCGGGAGGCAGGGATCTCCGGGTTGTGCTCCCAGCTCTGACACTGACTCACTGTCTGACCGGGGGCAAGTCGCTTAAGCCACTTTCTATCCAAAAGGGTCTCATAATTTTGGGTGCCCAACATGAGAACCCTTGGGCCTGATTTCTGAGCACATGCTGCTTCCATCAGCTGTAACAGCTGTTCAGCACATGATGAAAAATCCGGTCCATTTATCTTATGGCAGGCACCCAAAACTAGTGGGACACCTTTGAAAGTGTTGGTCTGAAACACTCTGTACCTCAGTTTCCCCATCTAATTTGTCCCTACCATGGGCCCATGTAGGACAAACTACATGCTGTGTGAATGCTACATGAGTAACCTGCGTCTTACCTATTATCCCTCTGTGAAATCAAACGTGGACTCGCATAGTAAAAGGGGCCCCTTTCATATAGGGAGGTCCGGACACATCATCTCCAGAAACATGGCCCTCCTGTGCCATGCTAACATGCATGCCCTTTTCACTGATGTGGCAGGATTCCATTCATCCATCTTCACCTGCCTGCAGTTGACGGATCGCTGATTGCTTGGCTGTGTATTGAACATCTCTTCACCTGGTAGTTTTCACGGTCTGCCCTCTTGTGCACACCAGCTCTCTGTAGGACTTGGGGGGCAGATCCTCTGCTGGTATAAAGCTAGCAGCCCCCGGGCTCCAATCTTTCCCTACGTATTGTGCCAGCAGAGTGGCAGGCACTTTGCAGATCAATAAGACTGTCTGTCTGCTTCCTAGACCTTATCCACCGCCGAGACAAAGCAGGGATGGTGGGGCGGGATGAGGAAAGCCCATGTCATTGAGTGGGGAGGTCAAAATGCCTCTTGTGTTGCCCTGACCTAGGCATGGTGTTAAGCCCTGATGGGGTGGGAGAAGTCTGTTGCCTTGAAGCAGAAGGTGGAGGCGTATTGGAGTGGGGTTAGGGAGGGGGTTGTAAGCAGAGTGGGATCGGGGAGACAAGGACTGGGCAAGTTGCTCTGGACTGAGTGGGATTGGGGCAGGGCTGGTGTTGACTGTAGTGACCAAACCAAGGCAGGCACCAGGCCAGGCTCCCTGTTCCCGGTGGAGATCCCTTTCTTCCATTCCTCGAAAGAGTCCCACTTCAGCTGGTCCCCACGCGGCTCTAACCTCAGGTGGGCTGGCAGGGACCGTGCCCGTACCATGCATGCTGCTGCCTGAAGATCTGGCTCCAAGAGGCACATGTCTCTGGCGGGAGACGGGCCGTCCCTTAATGAAGGCGCGATGCCTTCCGTGGGTTTGGATGTGGAGCAGGCAATTGCTTGTGGCTCCCTGTGAGCGACACTGCCAGAGAAAAAGAAAACCTAGGTCTAGGAGAGGGATGCTCTGCCTTGTGACCGCAGCAGCTCAGTGGCTGATCCTTTGCCTGGAGTGGGGGGAAAGAGACTCCACCCAGCAAGCCCTGTTGGACTTCATGCTCGCCAGTCGATAGCCTCTGCAGACCTGGCTTCTGATCTCTAGGACACAAGTGAAACTGCTTTGACAGTGCTCAGTGTTTTGCCGCGTCACCCACTCAGGGGCATCCATGCTGCGAGAATGGCAGTGTGCTATTCATAGCTTCCAGGGCCAGAAGAGACCACTGTGATCATCTCATCTGACCTCCCCATATAACACAGGCCAGAGAACTGCCCCCAGATCATTCCTATGGAATTAGAGCAGCTCTGAAAACCCTCTATGGAGAAAGAAAAGGAGGACTTGTGGCACCTTAAAGACTAACCAATTTATTTGAGCATAAGCTTTCGTGAGCTACAGATGAAGTGAGCTGTAGCTCACGAAAGCTTATGCTCAAATAAATTGGTTAGTCTCTAAGGTGCCACAAGTCCTCCTTTTTCTTTTTGCAAATACAGACTAACATGGCTGCTACTCTGAAACTTCTGTGGAGACGCGCTGCTGGGAAAGTGGGAAGGCCTGGGGAAAGAGATCGCTGCAGAGCTGCCTGTGTGAGGAGCCTGGGCCTGGACTAGCATGGTGATGGGGAGCTGTGGGTTGGGCTTGAGGGGCACTGGCAGAGCTGGGGTGACAGGACTGGAAAAGAAGGGGGCTGTAGGTTGGGCTTGGGGGGCGGGGGGACAGGACTGGAATAACCAGGTGCTGCAGGCTGGGAACAGGGGCATTGGCAGAACTCTGTATGTGGGGAGGGTGGGGCAGGGGGCCAGGACTGGTGTAGCAGAGTGGGCTGCGGGTCGGGATCGAGGCGCATCACAGAGTTGTGTGTGGGAAGGCAGTATGGTGTCTGCCCACATGGGCACCATCTAGTGCCAGGCAGCTGTATCCTCTGCCTTGTACAGGCACCTCCATAAATCATCTGAGCATCCTTCAGTCGGCTTCCGAGAAGCGACCTGCCCCAGCAGATGGGGGGAGAGAAGCCGCTTCTGCCTCCCCAGGCAGCCCCATAGACAGACACCCTTCTCCCCGCTACCCCGTGGAACACCTGCCGCTCTCCTGCCTCTGGGAGCAGCCCCTCTGTTAAAACCGAAGCAGCAGGCTTGAGGCCATTAAGCATGGTGGTCTCCTGCGTGCTAGGAGGAGCTTTTGGCTTATGTGCCATCCTCATCCCATTTACAGTGCACGAGCTGAGCTGCGTTCATCTGCCAGGGCTGTCCGGGCTCCTCCCTCACCCCGGGCTGTGACGCTCAGCTGATCTCTCCCAGGCTGTCGGGGAACATAGATTTTCCCATCTGTTGGGGGCGGGGGAGTGCTCTCTGCACAAGCTGTCTCGGCTTCTGGCTTCTCGAGTGAACACGAGGCCCTGGAAAGATACAAAGGCTTAAAATAGAGACCTGGGGAAGAGACAAAGGAGCAGATCGGGGCCATGCAGGCCTAATCCCCAGCTGGCATTGGATAACCCTATTACACGTCAGCTCCTGGACTGGGGATTAGCAGGCAGTTGGGGCTGTGGGGCTGATGCGCTGTGCGGCAGCATCCGGGCAAGCAGCCTAACTAGTTTTAAGATAGAAGGAGCTTGATTTGTGGATGGGGTGACCTGCCACACCAGGGCACTGGAGTCTATGACCCAGGAGGTCCCTTCTGGTCCTGTGGTTCCAACGATCTTCTCCGACCCCCGGTGCCCGTGAACTCGGACCCTTTCGCGGCAGATCATGTTTCTGATGGGGATGCCTCTGTAGCCAGGGCTCTGCTGTAATGAATGGAAAGAGGATTCCTTTTGGAAGCTGCTGGACCCAGACAGACCCTGTGGTTCTCTCTGGCTCTTGGCTAACACAGCCTGTGCTATCCCCACGCAGGCTCTCCGGAAGTCTTGGCCAGGGATCCAGCAGTTGTGGCATGGATGGCGGGCTGCACTACACCCTCTCCAAACACTCTGTTCAATGGGGCATCTAGATAGAAGGGACTAAAGGCTCAGACCCCTGAGTCCTTGATGGAATTAACTAGCGTTAGGAGCCTCCAACCTCTGATTCCCCTTCCCATGGTTCCGCCTGCTTTTTAGGCCCTGGGATTCGGGGCTTTAGATTACTCTGAAGGGCTCCATTTTTTCTGTGCTTTCTTGGGATCATTCCAGGGCACTGACGTTCTAGGAATAGCTGAGTTATGAAGGTGAAATTGGCTGAGTTATGAAGGTGAAATTCACCCCTGTGCAGCAAAGGGCCAGCATGGGGGGTGCCCAGATCTTGAGTCCCACTTACGCCTTCCCCACGGGGCTTGAGGGGTGAGTTTCATGCCGCCTGAGGGGCTGATCATGTGTGCAATGGAGCCTGGGCGACAGGCAAAGAGAAGCTGCTGCAGGGCCCCGTGCTGCATTTCCTGGGTTTCCATTGTGTACCCACGGCCCGGCGTGTGTGGTCCAGTCGCTGTCACAAAGGCGGCTCCTGGGCTCTCAGGCCAGCTGAGCTGCTGCTGCTCTGCCTGTGACCCCTGGAGGAGGGAGAGTTCCTTGACCTTGTGGAGACTGGGGAAAGTGGGGAGGAGGCAGGGAATGGGGGGCCCTCCCTGAACACCAGGTGCAAGAAATGAGCTGAGATTTCCTGGTGGAGCAAATCTGAGTGCAGACAGCGTACTGCTCAGATCCATCCCACCAGCAAGCGGGGCAGGGGCAGACGATAGAGCCGTGGCCCCTGCCCTGAAGAGCTGGCAGCCACCCCAGACACGCCCAGCACAAGGGCACCAGAAGCTGTATGGAAACAGCTAAGGAAAGGGGCTGTTTAGTCGGTGGGCTCATCACGATGGGCCAGGCCCCAAACATCTCTTTGACCTGGCTGAGCATACGCTTTGTGCCTAATAACTAAGAGCTCTGTGGGGACCTGTGGGGGGCGGATCAAGGTGCAGGGAGTCCGCAAGGCCATCTCTGGGAGAAGCTGGAGAACCCCTGATGCAGCACAATGAATGGCGCTGACGTGTCTGGGATCAGCCACTGCTGGTCTCGGCGTCCCAGATTGACATGACTCTTGGGTCTAGCTGGGGATGGGGATTCCAGGTGCCCCTCTCTGGCAGGCAGCTAAAGCTTGGTGGCAAGCTTTCAGTAATTTGATGTGGCTAGGGCACTGGACTAGGACTCGGGGAAACCTGGGTTCTATTCCTGGCTCTGCCCCTGGCCTGCAGATTGACTTTGGGCAAGTCACGTCACCTCCTTGTGCCTCAGTTTCCCCATCCTTAAAATGTGGACAAAGATACTGACCTCTTTTGGTAAAGCGCTTTGAGATCTTCTGATGGAGCGCACTGTATAAGGACTAGGGATTATGGCTATTAAAGACTTGGCAAAGGGGCTTATCCATGTCTGTCTCTCCTCCTGCAGCCAAACATGCTGTCAGCGGGAACGCGATGCTCCCACCGTTCCCAGAGGGAATGCAGATGGCCATTTTTGGTATGTGGATTGTTCCCTCTCCCTTCTCGAACTTGGTGGTGGGGCATTGGTTGGGTGAGAGTGTGGGCTGCCCCTCCTCCTTCCCTTTAGAACTTGGACCAGAATGGGCCGTATGGAGGATGAACCATTGAGGTGGGAGATGGAGGGGGAGAGGAAGAGCTATCGGGCCCCCATAATCAATACCCTGCTCAGAATCTGGCTGTCCCCTGTCTGCCCCCTCTGTCCTGGGGATGCTGTTCCACAGCCAAGATCTCACTGCTGATAAGCTATTGCAGGCAACTGTCCTTTGCTCAGTTTCATTCATCACCTCTGGTCAGCCCCTCCACCCACTGTCAACAGCCCTTTACCGGCGGGCTCCACCGTTCACAGTCCTGAAGGCTATTAAGGGCCAAGTGCGTCCCGCACCTTCAGATCAATGGGAAAATTTGATCTGATCAGAGACTCTATAGCATCCTGCTGGTCGCACGCAGCATCCACTCACTTCCTCTCCAGACCCCGTAGGTGTCTGCGGTGTTAAAAGCCACATGCTGAACTAGGGACCAATCCCGGCCCTGAGGCTTGGGCATGGAGTGCTCATTGAAGTCAGTGGCAGTTGTGCATGAGTGAGCTGGAGAGCAGGAAAGGGACCTGCCACAAAGCAGGTTGTGTCCTGGCAGGGTTGGGCTGAGGGCGAACTGATGCTCCCTGGGTTCAGATTAAGCTCTTTGCATTAAATTCACCTTCTCTATCCCCTGTTCTTTCCAGGCATGGGGTGCTTTTGGGGAGCCGAGAGGATGTTCTGGAAGTTGCCGGGCGTCTTCTCCACCCAGGTGGGCTATGCAGGAGGCTTCACCCCAAATCCCACCTACAAAGAAATCTGTACAGGTAACACCTTGCTTCTCTTCTACTTGGGGAACTGTAGCTTCACTTTGCCATGAGAGTTCCTGTTGTCCGGACTCTAATTGCCTGGAGATTCGTAGCTTAGAAGGGACCTCTGTGACCATCTAGTCTCGCTTCCTCCATAACATGGGTTGCAGGACTTCCCTGTTCAGCGAGAGCAGATCTTTTACAAAAACATCCCATCTTGATTTTAAAATGGCTAGTAATGGAGAATCCCCCATGACCCTTGGGAAATTGTTCCAGCAGTTAATTACTCTCACCATTAAAATTTACACCTTATTTCCAGTCTGAATTTGTCTAGCTTCAACCTCCAGCCACTGGATCGTGTTAGACCTTTCTCTGCTAGATTGAGAAGCCCATTAGCAAATATTTGTTCCCCATGTAGGTTCTTATAGACTGTGATCAAATCACCCCTTTAACTTCTCTTTGTTACCTAAATAGATTGAGCTCCTTGAGTCTATCACTATATGGCATATTTTCTAATCCTTCTCTTGGCTCTTCTCTGAGCCCTCTCCAATTTATCAACATTCTTCTTGAATTGTGGGCACCAGAACAGGACACAGGATTTCTGCCACAGTCACACCAGTGCCAAATACAGGTGTAAAATAACCCCTCTACTCTTACTTGAGATTCCCCTGTTTATGCATCCACAGATTGCGTTAGCCCTTTGGACCACAGCATCGCACTGGTAGCTCATGTTCAGCTGATTATCTACCCCCTTCCCCAAATCTTTTTCAGCGTCACTGCTTTCCAGGATAGAGTCCTCATCATGTTCAGATGGTCTACAATCTGTGTTCCTCAATGTAATGTCAACATTTAGACTTATTCAAATACATATTGTTCGCTTGCGCCCAGCTTACCAAGCGATCCGTATTGCTCTGTATTAGTGGCCTGTCCTCTTTGTTATTTATCACTCCCCAATTTTTGTGTCATCTGCAAACTTTATCAGTGAGGATTTTATGTTTTCTTCCAGGTCATTGGTAAAAATGTTAAGTAGCATAGGGCCAAGAACCAATCCCTGTGGGACCCCAGTAGAAACACACCCACTTGATGGTGATTAACCATTTACAGGTACATTTTGAGATCTATCAGTTAGCCAGCTTTTAATCCATTTAATGTGTGCCAGGTTAATTTTATACCATCCTAATTTTTTAATCAAATCGTTGTGTGGTACCAAGTCACACGCCTTACAGAGGTCTGAAGTATATTACATCAACGCTATTACTTGCATCAACCAAATTTGTAATCCCAATAAAAAGATATCAAGTTAGTTTGACAGGACCTATTTTCCATAAACGGACGTTGATTGGCATTAATTATTTTAATTTAATTTTAGTTCTGTGTTAATCGAGTCCCATATCAGCTGCTCCATCATGTGGCCCGGGATCAATGTCTGACTGACCGGCCTGTAATTCCTGGGTCATCCCATTTAACTTTTTAAAATATTGGCACCACAGTAACTTTCTTCCCTCGTGTTCCAAGACTTACTGATGATCCTACGTGTGTCTATACAATGCCATCTGTCTCAGTGCTTTACCAATTGTTCAGTAACTGCTTCAGCTATGGCTGAACTGCAGCTGTTTCTGGGGTAGAACATGGCTGCTGTTAACGGTGTGCAGCAATGGGATGGCTCAGGATAGGCAGTGTAAAGTGCTGTATTCAGTTGAAATTGCAGTGAGAACTTAAGAGAGTTAAAATGGAATTCACCCGTTCGGTTTGGTTGGGACATAGGGGTTTATACCCTGTGGTAGGATTTTGAATGATCATTGCGTGAGTAGTGGAAGGTGCATGTCGGGATTTCTGCCTTAAAGTGCCACCTAGAGTGAGGGCATAGACTTGGAAGAGGAAGTGCAATCTAGTGAATTGCCAGCCCTGCTTCCTGCAGCACCTGGCTGTCCCTTGGAGATCTGCTGTGCGTGTTCAGGTCGGCCCCAAGCTGGCTGAGCATATGAGAACTGATGGGGGAAGGAGGCTCCGGAGTGGTAGAACTACAAGGGTAGCGTTTTAAGTCGTGATGCCAGGCTGTCAGAGCCCATGCTGCAGGGGTGGCGTGTAGGTGGCAGGAGAAGCAGCCATCCCTTCTGGGCTCCCAGTGCGTGAGTCTCCTCTGAGCCGGTGGGATACCGTCTCGCTGACCATCCAAACGCCCATTTCCCCAAGTGTGACTTCGGTTCAGTGAAGTCCAACGGGGCCAGTTTGTGGCTTTTTGCTCCCTTCCCCAGCAGCTTATTCAACCCTAATGCGAAATGCAGCCTCTCAGGGCCCAGCTATCTCATCACTTTGGGACAATGCTGGCCTTCATCTGCTGTGCAGAGGGATAATAGCCTTGCTCGCCCTTAGTGTCCCGTCTTTTTAAGAGGCGGAGGGATACCTCTTGCGAGAGATGTATCCTTTTAGGAAGCCATGAAATGTTTATCAGGGGCAGCCGGGACAGCAGGCCGTTGTCCTGTCCTCTGGAAACAGGAGCTGGGATGTGGTAAAGCAATACACAAACACGAAGCCAGGCTGGGCCTGATGCCCAGCTAAGCCAGCCCATGCTGACCAGCCAGGTGAGGGGGGAGTGTGTGTGTGTGTGTGTCCAAGATGATCTGATGGAGTGACCCAAAATAGAAAGGCCTGGGACACAGGAGGTACTTGGGTCTGGAGCTGCTGGGGCTTGCTCTGAAGTTTGGGGGTTGGGTCAGAGGATGCTTCCCACTGGGACAGAGACACAGCCTGAGCTGGCTTCTCCTGGGGAGAGGTAGCCACTCAAGCACCCTCAGCTTGTGTTAATAAGGGCTTGATTATCCAGTTGATGAGACCATCAGCTAAGGGCTAATGTTAACCCACTCTAACCACGGAGCCAGGCTCTCCCTGGCCCAGTACAGATGGGGCTGAGCCATAGGGGTGGGTCCAGATATGACGTTTCCTAAATCCCCAGGGTGATCAGACCCAGGGCATGGCTCGAAGGAGCTGCACAGTAGACATCCCCACCCCCACGCTGAATCCCGTGGTGCCTGCCGGATTCTGAGCCACAGGCCCCGTTCCCAGACAGCACCCTCTGAAGCTCATCAAGCAGCCAGCATCCATGGGCCGGACCGTGCGATTGGGAAGCTGAGTGTAGGACCTACGCCCCAGGCTCAGGGCTGCTCCCTTTGGGATTAGCATGTCCCCTTGGTGACTGTGTGCCCCCAGTGTTTAAGTGAGTTGGAGGCTCAGGGAAATGCCGTGGCGCTCTTGTTCTGAGGTCCAGAGATCACTGTGTACAATACCCTGGAAGTGGGTACCCAACACTGGGCTTTGGAATCAGGCTGACTGGATGGAATCTAAACTCCATGCGCAGGGGGAGAGAGGGCGGAGGTGTCTTTCTGGTGGTCTCCTTTGCAAAATGACTGGAATCTGACCATTCAGCTCACTGACTTCTCTCCTCTTCCCTCCCCTGAGCATCATCCACTCAACAGCAGGGCTAAGAAGTTAACGAAACCCGGGTGCTACTCCTGGCTCTGCCATGACTCTCCGTGTGACCTTTCTCCATGCCTCAGTTTCTGCATATGTAAAGTGGGAATGATATTGACCCAGTCTCTGATTTGCTTATGGCTTTCCCCAGCCATAGGTTGCCTAGCCCCGTGTTACCCAGAACCTCCACTAGATTCTAGAGCCACTGTCCAGAGCAGCTGTTAGCATGACATTGAGGGGGATTTTGTTAATGAACAGCAAGAGGTACTGCAGTGTGGCCTGGCATGGCTTCCATCAGTGTGCTAATGTATTTATTAGGAAGGCTAATCTGCCCCGCCCCCACCCCCCACCCCACGCACACACACACTTCCCCTTCTCTCTCCAGCTCCGCCCACCCCAACTCATCAGAAATCTGAACAGACTGTTTCATGTCTTATCTGCAAAACCATTCCGCACACTGGCGCGGAGGATTACTTGTCTGCAAGAAATATTATCCGCGTCTGTTGTCTCGGTTCTGGGTATTAACATAATGCAATGGGGGAGAGAGCGTCTTATCCCCCCCGCACGTAAGGAGTGACCGAAACGACTGCACAGAGTGGAGGCAGCATCCCCGGGTGCATGTGACTGCACAGGGGCGCTGGCGGGAGTTTGGTGGGGCTGGTGTGAGTGAATGTGCAGGCTGCTGCTGCCAGTCCAGGCCAGGTTGGAGACGGTCAGCGAATCTTTGTTGCCCGGTGCACTTTGGTAGCCCGTGTGAAATGAGTTTGCTGGATCTCAGTCCAGTTCCTAGCGGGGTGAATGCTGAGATTGCAAAACCCACCACTGCAATGGGTGCCATTGGCTCCCAGAACACCTTGTTGGCAGGTTGAAGGTTCGATATGTCGAATGATCCAGGCCAGCATTAAAGCGTGATGGCAGGGCAGGCTGGTTTGGTAGCAGTGCTGGAGTTTGGGGGACAGCGGGGTGGGGTGGGGTGGGGTGCTGCAAGGGAAGCTGGAATAACCCCCTGTCCCTGCTCTGTCTGCTTTGTGGGGGAAGAGAACCTCTGTCTGCAAGGCTGTCAATCCAGCACCTTTTCTGCAACTCACCCGCTTGTTAATTTCAGCCGAGGGAATATTCCCTTCGGGAAAAGTCCCCCATCAAAGTGAATAGAACGTTAGAATTCTACAGGATGGATTAAAAAAAGAAACAGCCTATGGGAAAGATCTCATCTTCCATTAAACTCTGTAGGTTTTAGAGTAATTTCTGCAGCATCCTAATGACTTCTCCCCTGTTAAATCCGTTAGGACTTTCCCCATAAGGGTTTATGTAAGCCAGTGTCTCCGATCTTGTAAAATCTGGTGGGGGCATTCATGCTCTGCCATCTCTACCCTAGCCCCTGTCTACGATGAGCTGGCCACAAGGAAATGAACTGTAGTTTCCAGGCAACTTCCAAGCTCAGGCTTTGTCTGTACTGGTAGCTGTGGAAGGGGAAGACAAATCCCCTAATTTGTTCCCCTTCTCTAACACTTTCTAGCCAAAGATCTCCAGGCCTCCCAGCTGCTAAAGGCAGTGAACTTGTGCAACTGGTCCTGGCCAGATGCATTGTTTACCTGCTAACTGCGCTGCTGGATGTTGGGACTCCCATCCAGGAAACCCAGCCTTGCTGGGCCCACTTAGCCTGAGGGCCAGTTGTGCTGTAACAGTCAGCAGAGAGAGCTGACGCTCCTGCGAGCGGATCGTGACCCTCTGGTAGGCGGTGGAGTGACGTGCAGCGCTCCTGCCCATGGGGCATTTGCCTTACAGCAACCACAGCTCTGCCTTGTGCTGTGTCCCCCCACTTCTGCCGCTCTCCGGCAGCACGTCTCTGTGACCCTGTAAGAGCAGCAGGAGGCTCATAGGGACTTGCCTGTGGGACAACCACTAGAGTCATTCGGGGTCATCTTGATGCTCTCCTTAGCTGCAGCTGTGTGATTCGATTGCCCTCTTCCCCCCCAACACCATCCTTGGAGTAGGGAGCGGAATCCGAATGTTGCCAAAGAACGGGAACGTGGCTGGCTCTGCTGCTGGCTTGGAGGAGCAGAGCAGTGCAACAGACCGTCTCTCCTGCCCAGTGCGTGGGGATCCTGGGCCCTGGCCCAGGGAGGGAGGAAGTAGGGGAAAGATGAGGGAAGATTATTTTGGTGGGGGGAGCGGTGTAGAGTGGGCAGGAGTCCAGCCCACAGGGTCATCAGATAGCTAAGTGGGGTGGGTTAGAATGGTGTTCTTGGGTGGAGAGGCATCCGCCCTGCCCCTGTAGGGAGAGCCAGTGGCTGATCCCGAAGCAGCGGTTTGGAGATTTCCTGAGGAACATACGGTCAGATGCAAGGCTCAGAATGACCTTTGTGGAGCAGAACAGCCCTTGCTGGCCCGGCAGGAGGAGGGAAGGGAAGTACTGATGTTCCTCCCCCCCGGCCCAAACACCTCCCTGGCTTTGCAACACTTGGAAACCTCTGCTGCTCAGTGGCCTTCGGCGGGTCCCTAGCTCACCGGCATGGCTCTGCTGTGCATCTCTCCCTGGAGATGCTTTTCCTCTCGCCAGCTGGTTGGCTGAGGCTACCAGACGGAGTTGGCCTCCCTCTGTACATCTCTGTGCTGGGCAAAAACGGCATCTCAGCATAGCCCGGGCTTCCCCCTTTCTTCCAGTGCTGCTTGAACTGGGTCGGGGGTTCAGCCTTGTGAAGTGGGGCTGGGTGGAATGTATCTGCCAGGCAGCCTAGGGGCTGCATTGGTTTTAAAAACCATTTGCAGGGGTAGGGTCATTGCCTGGCTTCTGCAGCTGGCACTAAGGACACGGCTGTGGCTCACCAGGCTTCAAGAGCTCCAAGTCATGCAGCTGGGATCTATGGAACAAAAAAGCCGTAGTGAAATGCAGGGCACCTTGGAGTCAGGAGGCATGGCTTCTGCTTCTGACTCTGCCACCGCGGTATTGGCCGAGTTGCTTTAGCGAAGTCACGCCACCTTTCTGTGCCTCAGTTTCCCCATTTGCAATGCGGGAGTACAAGTTAGTCAGTTTTGTGATGCCTACTCAGATCCCAGGATTCAAAGAGCTGTAAACACTGCCTGTTTATTACTGAAGGTGGACTCTTCTGGCTGGCGGGGGAAAGCGAGCTCCAGTGGGAATGGGGAGATCCTGTTAATAGACAACTTGAGAGACGGATGAGCGCTCCTTGCGGCTTTAACTGCCAAAGCTAGCACCAGCCCGGCTGTGTCAGAAACACCGGAAAAGGCCATCGCGAGCTGGCCGCAACATCTCAACTGTTGCCTTAGCCTGGGTTTTCCCCCTCTGGTGTAGCAAAACGGGGGAGTTGTTGCCTGGAGAGCAAAGCTATCCGCTTCAGCCACTTCGGTAATTGTCGGTAGATCACAGAACGGGTTGAAGGCAGCCATTTACACCATCCGGCATAACCATGTCCGTACCTGGGGCTGTGCAGGGGCCGGAAGTTCCATTTCACAGAGATTTTGAGGCCTTGGCTTAGTTCTGAATCAGAGCAAAAACTAGAAAAGTTGAAGAAAAAAGTGTTTGGACAAAATCAAAGCATTTTGTTTCCATTTTAAGGGGTTTAGTTTTGTATTGTGTATATTATACAATAAAATATGTGACCCTCTGGTTTGTATTGTACTAGCCTCATTGTGCAAGGTGCTGTACAATCTAAATAGGCAAGACAGACAAAGGGCAGAAGGGGAATCAGTGGTACACACGGAGGTGATTTGCCAGTGGTCATACAGTGGGTCAGTGATGGAGAACCCAGGGCTTCTGAGTCCCAATTCAGTGCCCCACCCTGTAGACCAGCGGTTCTCAACTGGGGGCCTGGGAGCCATGAGTAGTTTCAGGGGGACCACCAAAATAAATCAGAGAGCAGGGCTAGCATTAGACTCACTGGGCCCCAGGGCAGAAAGCTGAAGCCCGAGCCCTGCCACTAGGGGCTGAAGCCAAAGCCCAAGAATTGTGGGGCCTCCTGTGGCATGGGGTTTGGGGCAACTGCCCTACTTGCTACCCCCTAATGCCAGCCCTGGCTTTTATATGCAGAAAAACAGCTGCTGTGGCCCAGGCGGACTGTGGAGTTTTTCTAGCATGTTGGGGAGGCCTCAGAAAGACAAAGGTTGAGAACTCCTGTTGTAGCCCCACACTGCCTGCTCTTTGGATCTGGACCCTATGAGTTGATCTAAAGCAGACTCTCTGTCTTGTGGAGCCTATGACACACACCTGGACAGGGCTGCCTCCATGCCACCTGGGGCAGACTCGCTAGCCGCAACAGAAGCGAAAAAGGGAAGCCCTTTTTCTGCGCGCAGCAGACGGTCGGTCTCTCTGCTGCAGGAGGGTGGGGTTTGCACAGCCCGGGCTGTGGCCCTTGGTGGGGGCTTGCGCCGGATAATAGGTTATGGCAGCCAGCGGGAGCTCTGCCTCTGGCTGCTGCCTCTTTGCTCGGCCCTGCAGCAGCTGCCAAAGCAGGGACGTCCGGGAGAGCTGCAATCTGCTGATGCTGCTACTGCGCATGCAGACCCCATCCCGGGCAAGCACTTGTGCCTTTCCCACGGAGCTGCTGCAAAACCAGCCCTTGGCCATGGCTGCTGCCCGTCCCCGCACGGCTCACTGGGCTGTTTGTGTAGCAGTCATTGCCTCACTGGGCTCCCCGTGCACCCATTCCTTCCCCAATTGCTATCCCCCCCCCCCCCCCCCGGTGGCTGATACTAAAGAGACCAGTTTCCTCTCCCAGCCTCTCAGGGATCAGGAAGCATATGCAGCATTTGCAATCTTTAACTATTACCACCCTTAACTGCTGAGTGTCCCGAGCACAGTCCACACAAAGGAGAGGGTGCGGTCTAGTGGTTGAGGGAGGAGAGACCAAGATTCAGGCCTCTTGGTAGTTCTGCGAAGGGAGCATGGCCCAGTGGTTGGAGGAGAGGAAGCTTCTATTCTTATCTGTGGGGGGGGGGGGAGGGGGGCGTTCTTTCTGGTAGAGCAGGGGGATTGGGAGTCAGGACTCCTGGGTTCCGTCACTGCTCAGGAGGACAGTGTGGTTTAGTGGTTAGAGGAGGAGACTGGGTGTTGGGACGCTGTGATCTGCAACGATTCTGGCTCCGCCACTGACTTGGGGTGCGACCTTGAGTGAGTCACTCCCCTGCTCGGGGCCTTCTCCGTCTGTGAAATGGGACAAATGCCTCCCTGCCTCAGGTGCTGGGAGGCAGGTCCCGTGCCTGGGAGGAAAGGTGCTATAGCAGGGTGACATGGAATCACTGGATGGGGCAGCACGGGTACTAGCGTAGGAGGGCTGCTGTGATCTAGCTGGTGGTGGTGCCATTAACTGGGGGAGGGCGGGGGTTCCTCTCATGTGCTGTTGTCTGCAGACTTGAGGGTGTGTCCCCTCCCTCACACTGTACCGCCATCCTAACATCTCCTCTGGCCTTGTGTTCCCCTCCCTTTTAGCCCTGTCTTGTGATTGCTGGGCGCCAGGGCCTGACAGGCCTGCGAGGTGCAGTCTCCCACCCACACAGCTCCCTCTGCCCCCCCACCATTCTAGGCCACCTTCTGCTCCAGCATTAGCCCCCTCCTGAGCGGTGAGCATGGACGACACCATGTTGTGTGATGGGCTCTAGGCCTAGAATGGCCGGACTCCTTGTCACCCGAGCCAGAGTTGGCGTGGGGTGTGAAAGGCACACCTTACCGCCGCCGAGCAGCGTCCCCCTTTTGAGTGGGGGGCGGGGGGAGGCTTGAGCGATGGGTTGGAGCTGAAGCCAGATGGACACAGACCTGAAAGAAGGTGCCCGTGTCCAGCCGTGACGGCAATTAACCACTGGTTTCTCAAGGGTTGTGGTGGATTTGGATTCTCCGTCACTGGCAATTGTAGACTCAAGATGGGATGTTTGTCTAAAAGATCTGTTCTGGGGGTTATTTTAGGGGCGTTCTCTGGCATGCGTTGTACAGGAGCTCCGACTAGCTGATCCCAGTGGTCCCCCGTTGGCCATGGAGCCTATGAATCGCAGTTCAAATTGAACCTAGATTACTTTGAAACCCAAAGCTTGGGGACCACAGAACAGACTGTCGCTCAGCATCTCGGGCTAATTGATCAGGGGCGAGCATCCTCCTGCAGACGGATTCCTATGGAAGGGGGCAGAGCTGCTGCTGAGCAGAGAGGGCTGTTTAACCTCCCTCGTCTCCCCCCAGGTCTGACCGGACATGCGGAAGTGGTCAGGGTTGTGTACGACCCACAGAAGACCAGCTATGAGGCCCTCCTCAAAGCCTTCTGGGAGAACCATGACCCCACCCAAGGTAAGGCTAAGGGACTTTGTGTCCATAGGGTCAGCGAGTGGTGCCAGATGCAGCCGCTGTAACCACCTGTGTAGACTCAGGTTTTTGGCTGCAGCTCCCTGGCCTCCCCCGTTGTCAGCAGAGACGGAAAGTGAGCCGTCTTCATCCCCCAAACCACCGGCCTGGATCTCTGCCGTGGTCTTGGGGCTTCGATCCTGCCCCAGAGGGCGATGGGAGCTCAAAGCCATGCATGAAGGGCTGTGGTGCCCATCCGCACCGAATGATGTAGCTCACTGCCCCTGTGACTCTTGTCCACATTGGGGACAAGAGCAACTCTCTCTGCTCATGGTGGATGTCACCTGCTTCCATGGGCAGGGAAGACAGAGGCATGTGTAATCACAATCAGGGCAGCCCTACACCAGGCCTGGCCGGTGAGGTGCTGCCTGGAGAAATAGCCCCGTTGTGCCCAGTGCTGCGCACATGCCTAGTGAGAGAGTATCTTTATCCCCATTTTGCAGATAGGGGAAACTGAGGCGCAGAAGGATTCAATGCCTTGCCCAAGATCTCATATGGGGAGTCTGGGACAGTGCTGGGAACTGAACCCAGATCTCCTGTAGTCCAGTATTTTACCCACAAGCCCTGACTGGTGCGAGCTGGCTCTCCGTCCATGGGCTTCGTCGGAAGTAAAGGATCCTCTGGGACCCACAGCCATTGCTTGGGGCTGGGTGGGTCTGTCTGTGGGTCCCCAGGCAATGCTGGGTGGTCCCCTCCCCCTTTGAGATCCAAAGCTGCTCATCAATATTAAGGCCAGAAGGGATCATCACAACCATCTAATCTGACCGCTAGAAGTCACCGTGTCTTGGGGGGCCAGGGGCAGACAGAGGAGGGATGCTGCATGGACCAGGTGCCGCTATCCAGCTCCCCACTGCCCCCTCTCCCCCCCCCCGGTTCTCTGTCTCTTTAAATGCCTCCAGCCCCAGGATAGCTCTGCAGCACTGATGGGGATGCTACAGCTGACGGGGGGCCCCTCAGGAAGCTGGCGGGGGAGGGGCTCAGCTGCACAGAGGTGGGGGTATTAAATAAAGAGGGGGCAGGGAGGAATGCCTGTTTGAAACCTGCATCACGTCCGCGGCGGGGAGGGGGAGAGGCCGGGCTGGGGCCCTGTTGTACCGAAGCATAATTTTAATGAGGAGATTAGCAGTCTCTGCGCATCGCTGGCCGGCTTCTAATTGCGTGTTTGTGTTTTAACGGGCAATGTGTGCCCGCACCGCGGATGGGCAGTAGTGGGGAGGGGACACGGCTGGTGCCATCTACAGGCCCTGCAGCACTGGAGGGACCCTCCCTGCTTTCCGCCCCCCCTTCCCCCGCGCGCCAAAAAAACAGGGTTTACACTGGGCAAGGTGGCTGCAGTCTCCTGGAGGGAGGCTGGTTGGGTGTGTTCTGAGAGGGCCTGGTCCAGAGCTTGCAGTCGACAGAGTGGGAGGGGAAATGGAGGCCTGGGGGTATGCGACTTGCCCGCAGGGTCGCAGCAGGTCAGTTGCAGAGCTGGAAATAGATCCCAGTCCCCCAGAATCCCAGTCCCCTGCCCTACACTCTGGACCAAGCTGTCTCCCTGGAGGTCCCTGATCTATGGCCATGGGCGGGAGGGGGGGTTGTGCCTTTTACCCCTTGCCTCCCCCCACAAGACCCTCTAATGCCTCATGTAAATGGCCCAGTCTTGGCTGGCTCCTGACCATAGGGCCCCCGGCCCACCGAGCTCTTATCAGGCCTGTCCCAGAGGGCAGTCCCATGCCCTCTCGTGCCTTTCCCCCACAGTCTGGGTGCCTCCAGGGGCTGAGGCCGTGGGCGGAGGTCGCTTTCCCCCTGTCGAGCCAGCTGTGGGCTGAGCCATCCCCCCTGGGCGCCCAAGTTACCCAAACAGGGCCCTGCGTTCCCCCAGAGTTGGGAGGTGCCGAACAGTTGTTCCCATGGGGTCCCCAGGGCCTCTGGCCCCGAACAGCTGCCTTGCCCTCTGCACTCCCTTGGCCTGGCTCCTTGGTTAGCTCAGGGTGTTTCCCATATGGTTTTGTATGAGCACCCCTCCCTGCTGGCTGCAGGCCCAGTGCCCTCTGGCTGGACTGCTGCCCCTGGGACAGCACCTCACAGCTCAGCGCTTGTCCCCCAGACCAGCTCCCGTATTCAGCCACTGACTCTGTGGGGTTGGGCCCTGAAACCGTTGGGGTGGAGGGGGAGAGGAGACTGGTTAATTCTCTGAAGGAACACTCGGGCCCCGGGCTGGATTTACAAGCCCTTGGACAAGATGCAGTTGGCCTCAAAGGGCTGCAGGGGAAGGGGTGTGTGGGGTGACACGTCTAGCCTGACACAGCCCGTCCTGGCCGGCGTCCCCACTTGCTATAGCTCTGCTCATCCGTGGCGCTAAGTGCACATGCCTCAGTTTCATAGATGGGGAAACTGAGGCACAGAGGGGTGCAGTTCCTTGCCCGAGGACATGCATGGTAGAGTTGGGAATTGTACCATCCCAAAGATTGGATCTGTGGTGCTTCTAGACTTGCCCAGCAACACCTGGGTCTGAGGTGCTCCCTGTGCCATGACCCCCGGCTCTTGCCTCCGCTGCCCCCTGCCTGCAGCCTCTGCGGGGAGCACCCACCGTGAAGGAGAGAGGTGAAGAGGGACGGGCAGCCCTGGGCAGGCTCCTCCTAAACACCCCCCCTTTCCGTGTCCTTTGGGGACCAATTGGATACACACAGACACCCCCCCACCCCCCTACCCCCTCAGAGCAGGGAAGGTTCCCCCTTCCCCTAGATGAACTGGGCTTTCCTTGTTTAACCAGATCACCCCCAGCCACGCCATGGAGATGGGATATTGATACGCCAGCACTGGGAGAGTTTAATACCCACACGTGGCTCAGAACGTCCCTCTCTTAGCGTGTGATGCCAGGAGCCTTCCAGCTACCACCAGCCTGACTGTCGGCCCCTCCTGCTCACCCCCCGCTCTGATTCCCTTCCCCATGCAACTCGGGGGCTCTGGTCTCTCTCTGGGGCAGCTGGACTAGCAGGGGCAGTGAACAGCTTCACTATCACATCTCCCTCCACCCCGCGCTGCCTGGTGCTGCCTTCCCTAGGCCCCTCCTGGCAGCTTGAGGGCCCCTACAGCCAGTCCGACCCCTCCTCTCTGGAGCATCTGGCTGAGAGGATGCCCATGGGGCCTCCAATCCCTCCTCTGCCACAATAACTCCCAGCCCCCCTCCAGTGCGTCCCATTACTGCACTGAGCACCATCCCCAGTGAGTGGCAAACCTGAGCACCGTAATTTATGCAGATTAATAACCGGCAGCAGCCACTGGGCTGACAAGGAGCTCAGAGGGTGCCTTAGATTTGTGTACAGCTGTGATTAACAGCCCATCCCGTGACAGGAATAGTAATTGGAATGGCTGTGCTGGGGGCGTGGGCAGCCAGGCCACTGAATTGACTTCCTGGCCTGGCCTGAGCTCTCCCTTTGGGAGTTCCTGGTCACTGGAAGGAGTGGGTGGGGGCCGCCTTGAGTCCAGGGGAGCTCTGCCGGTTCCCGCCGGCTGGGCGTCTGTCTGGACCGACTCTGGTGGGGCTCTGCCGGTTCCCGCCGGCTGGGCGTCTGGCCCCACTGACTCCGGTGGAGCTCTGCCCCAGGATAACGCTATTTCCCCTCCCCTGAAGTGGGTTATGGCAGGATCCTCCGAGCACCTGGGGCCCCTCCCAGTACTGGAGGTTGCGGGCAGAGGAGCTGATGGTTGATACTCTGCTGGGACCTGGGAGGAAGAAGAGGGTGAGGAGGGCTGAGATGGAGAATCCATCTCGGGGAGAGAGGGGCTGGGTTGGGAGGAAAAGCTCCTGGTGGCCCTGGGTCCTGTTTAGCCTGACTCCATTCCCCTTTCGCTAGCATTGTGAGGGGTGCAGCCCATTTGGGGTGGGGGGTGAGGGAAAGGGAGGTTCAGAGCATGGCAAGACTGGCTTGGGTGTCCCCTCCCCCTGCAGAGAGGCAGGCCCTAGTGGGAATGAGCATCTGGAACTCCCTGCTTCCAATCCTGCCTCATCTATTGACACCGTCAGGGAAGCCGCTTCCCCTCCCTGTGCCTCAGTCTCCCCCATCTCACGAGGACCATGCTGACCTACCCAGTGGTCAGTTAAGCACTCGAGCGGTGCCCCGCCCACCTCTCCATTCTGTCTCCTGACTGGCTCTTCAGTTGATGAGATGGGACAGGCTATGAGGGTAGACCAATGGCTGGTCTATTTGGCCAGGCCCTCCAAGTTAAGGATGAGGGGTAGGGGGGCTCATGGGGGCTCTGCCCATGTCCCTTTTCTGTGGATAGGAGGCAGCTGGCAGGGGTGCCAGCCTAGCACCACTCAACAGTGCTCTAGTCACGCTAACCTCTGCTGCTGTATCTCTGGAGCAGCGTTCACGCAAGGCGCAGTGGTTAAGGTACTAGACTGGGACTCAGGGGATCTGGGTTTAATTCCTAGTTCTGCCACAGACTTCCCGTGGGCAAGTCAAATCTCTCTGGACCTCAGTTGCCCATCTGTAAAATGGGGATAATGATCCTTCTTTTGTCTTGTCTAGTTGCAAGCTCTTTGGGGCAGGGACTGTCTCGTTATGTATCTGTACAGCGCCTAGCGCAGCTGGGTCTCTGATCTCGGTGCTGCCATAATAATGGAAGCTCCCACCGGCTGCTGAGACAGGGTCATGAGTTGTTTGAATGATGGAGCAGAAGGCGGCCATTGAAAATCAGCAGCCCTTCCTGAGCCAAATGAATCCAACAGGCTGTGCCAGCGGGGATGAGGTTAGCCTTTGAGTTCAGTGTGAATGCTCTTTTGGGGGGTGAAGGTTAAGCTTGGGCGCCTCTCTTTGGCGATCCCGGTGTGCCTGGACACTGGGCACCCTCTGTCCCCTAACGTGTGGCTTGTTGTCTTTCAGGCATGCAGCAAGAGGAGGATGTCGGCACACAGTATCGCTCAGTCATCCACACGTTTGGAGCCCAGCAGTGGGATGCTGCCCTGAAGTCGAAGGCAATGTATCAACAGGCAGGTTTGGAGCAGAGCCTGTTCCTGTGGGGCAAACCAGGCTGCGTAGCATCGCTTATGCGTTATCTTGTCCCTCAGTGAGCAATGGCAGGTAGCTGTTCCCTTCATTCCACTCACCTGCAGGTGTAAGGGGATGCTCTTCTCACAGACTTACTGTCCCCAAAGATCTACAGCTCACAATAAGGCAGGGGGCCAGCATGGGAAATCAGTGTGGGGGGATGTTTCATCCAAACTCTGACCTTGATCCCAAACTCTGCTCAGCATCCCAGAGTATCCAGATGTTTCTGCTAAAATGGACGGTGAAATAGTGAACCATGTTGCCATGTGTATCGTCATCAGTAGGCTCCAGAGTTAACACCACGTGTCTAGGGAGCTGTTTGCACTTCTCAGAGCGGCTGCTTCAGGCTGCCTGCCAAAGGGCTGGAAAAGCTTTGTTTGCAGCTGTTGGGCCTAGAAATGTCATTGGTTAAAGCCCTGAGAGCTGCCATTCTGCAGAACCCAGCTGGAGCGGCATTGCTGGCTGTATTGACCACCTGCCCTGGGTCTGGGGCCATTGCTGTAGTGCTGAAGGAGGCTTCTTTCGCCAGGGCTGCCTTGGACCTGGCTCTGTGAGTGCACCAAATGCTGGGGAGTCTCCCCTGGTGGAGGGGGTGGGGAGCTGTTACCCTGGCTTCTGCTCTGTTGGCGCATTCCCAGCTGCTCCCCCTCCCTGCTGCGGCTAGGCTCTGCCCTCTGAGCTGTGTCCTGTGGTGGGGAGGGAGGGGAGACAAAAGGGAGGCAAGGCCTAGTTAGTTAATTACCCCGGTAAGGCCTTTCTGATGAGGAAGGGGGCTGGGGGATATACCAGTTTCCTTGGCAACCTGCCGCCACGGCAACTGGCAGCTGGGGCTGGGGGTGGAATGTGGGGGGTGAAGGCCGTTGACTGAGACAGGTGCAGCATCCCCCGAAAATGATTCACGGCCTTAAGCGGTTTGCCCCCAGCCGCCGTTGCTGGGACAATTAAAGGCGACCTGTTTAAATCCTGCACGTGCCGGGCAGATGCGGCGCGTGTGTGTGTCTGGGTGGGGTGCGGGGGATCATGATGGGTTGCGGGCAAGGCCGGTGGAGCGAGTCTCTGGTGGGCTGCGCAGCCTTGGGCTAGTCCGTTGCAAGATCAAGGGGCTGTGTTTGCAACAGCGGCCCCTGCGATCGCTGCTGAGCACAGAGCTGTGCCGCAGACTCTTGTGGGTTGAGAAAATCCTGTGGCGGCAGGGCACCGGGCTGGGAGCCAGGGGAGCCAAGTTCTAGACCTGGAGGTGCCATGGACCAGGCCTTGTCTGAACCAGTATTTTAGCCACTGGCACAAAGTTACAGGCACGATTGCCATGGCTGCAGCTCACCTTGGACTGATGCTGGGGAAAGCCACACTGGTATAGATAGTGCTGTACCTATGTGAATCCTGTCCACACTAGGGGCCTGCACTGGTGCAGATACACGAGGGCCTAAAACCTAAGCATAGACAAGGCCAAAGTCACTGCTTCTCTGTGCCTCAGTTTCCCCATCTCTAAAATGGGTCAGGATCCACTGATGGAAAGAGCAAGGCGAGGGATTTTACCCCCTTCCCAGACAGAGTGAGCCTTAGCACTGCTCTAGCACATGACATCTCCCTGGGACGGGGGGCGAGGGGGGGCTCATCCTTCCAAGCAAAGGTGATCTGGTGTTTCCCATTCGCACGCAGCAGTACAGGTGCTTCCAAACGTGGGTGCCAATCTCCCTGCACCTCGGGGAGCGAGTGCACTCCGCATGTGCTGCCCCCGTCAGCTGTCTACAACTGCTTCATCCAGGCCAGGACTTGGGCTGACTCCGGCTGGTGTTAGTCAGGGAATCGCAGGTTGTACCAGCCCCCCCGCCACGAAAGAATCCCCTGTTCTATTGTACAGCCTAGTCCTGGCTCTTCTCTATAGCAGGGACACGCCGGGGAATCTCCTTGGAGAATTGTCCATCGGTCCCTTAATGGCTAAGCCACATAGACACTTGCCATAAAATAGATCCATGTAGGACCTGATTCTCAGAGGTGCGGAGCGCCAGGAACTCGGGGTGGCTGCTCGGCGTAGCATCAGTGCTCGTGAAAATCCAACCCATACGGTTATAGCCTTCCTGAGTGGTGATGGGCTGAATCCTGCCGTTTCCACGGTGACAGTGGGCCCAGCTCTGAGCTGCCTTGCTGGCACGGATCCAGAGTCACTCCATCTCCAGGGGGTTACGGTGGATTTCCAGAAGCGTGCCGGAGATCAGAATCCATCCATGTCTCGGGAATCCCCGGTGACATGTAACAAGACTCAGTGCCAACAGCTTGGCTTCCCGCAGCCTATTAGCCATGCAAAGATATTCCTGGGCAGGGGGGAAAATATTCCATCGCCCCATTCCCGAGGCTCAGCCTGGGCCTGGACTCAGTGACAGCAACAACTTTGCATTTATTAATGGGACTGAGGGAGCCGAGCAGCGTGGTTGGCAAGTGCCTCCTGGGATCCTGTCTCCATAGCTCTCTCTCCTCTCACCACCCAGATTCCACCTCCACTGGAATGAGAATAGCACCCAGCGCAGCGCTGTCCATCTCTCCCGTGACAGTCGTGTGGCATCTTCCTCAGCTGCCGTGGGGACAGGTGTGCTGCCGACGGCCTTCCCCAGTCCTGGGTTCTGTTCCTGGCTCTCTGACCTGGGGCAAGTCACGGCCCTGCTCTGTGCCTCAGTTTCCTCATCTGTAAAATGGGGATAATGCCCCTGACCACCTCTGTCATTCTCCTCTGAGCTTTGTGGATGAAAAGTGCTAGATAAGAGCTTACCTGGCCCCTTAGCCAGCCACTAAACTCAGCCCTCTTCCCTGACCTGCATTTCCTCTGCAAGAATCCCCAAAGCCCCCACCTAGGCAGAGAGGCGCTGGCCTCTGCCCTTGGGCAGGGGGAAGCTTAACCAGGCAGGGAGGAGCAGGGGTCTGACGTGATCTGGGCAGGAAAGGGGCACTGATCCCATGGCCATGTGCTGCTCTAGAGGGCAGGGCTGAGGCATGGGGGTGAGGTACCCTGCTCTTGGGGTAAAGTCTGTGGCTCTCCACGGCCCCCATCTCATCTCTGCGTGGGCTGTCACCAGCAGGGGGTTCAAATCCCCCTCCCTTCATTTGCAGTGGCCTGTAGCTCGGGGCTGCTGCTCGCTCGGTTGCCACCACGGCTCCTCCCCCAACTTCAGGCCCTGCTGGGTTCCAGTTAATTAACTGGGCCTCCTTATCGGCTCCCGCACCCGGCGTCTTCCCCCCCCCACCACATGTGAATTAACTCTGCCCGCCAATAAGCTGCATTGTTCTGGGCCCCGAAGAAACGCAAGTCTCCCCCCTCCATCTCCTCCATCCGCTGGAAAGTCTCCACAGCCACCGACTCCTTTAATGCAATTAACGATGCGCCCCACATCAAAGAGCTGGCTGACAGCTGATGGGAGCCACAAGGGGTTTTTCCCCAACTGGAGACAAACCCCACTTGCCTCTAAATCAGCCCCTCCCCTTCCCCAGTATCCTCCTCCTAGTAGATACCTGCGCCCTGACATAAAACCCCCTTCTCAGCACCTCCGCCCCTCACGGCTTGGCTCAGTGAGTGATTGAGAGCGGCCCTGACAAGTGGCGTTTCTCCTTTTCTTGGAGCAGCCAGTTCAGCCCTTTCAGAGGTAGCTGTGTCCAGGGGCTAGAACACAGGGCTCCAGGGCGGCTGGAGATCTGGGTTCTATTCTGTCTCTGCCATAAACTGACACTGGGGCATCTCTGCCTCAGTTTCCCCTCATCTGCCAAATGGGGATAATGGTACCAGGGAGCCTTTGCAAATAGCCAGTAGGACTGGGTGCCCTATTGTACCAGGTCTGGTATGGACATAGTTCGGTACGGACCTTGCCCCAAAGGGCTTGCAATCTGAGACTATGTCTACATGCGCAGTAAGCCCGGGCTTGTAAACTCGGTGTTTTCAGGCCCACACTAGAGTGTCCACACTGCATTGGAAACCTGGGTTTACAATGGCCGACCTCAGTGCTCTGTCATGCTAACACGTCCGCACTGCGCTGTGCAGACCTTGTGACTTGGGTCTGTGGCTTGCCATGTGTCCACACTGCAAAATGACAGGGCTGAGACCTGAGTCAAGAGTGGGATTTGGGCTCTTCTCCACCCCCTAGCAGGGTCCTACGACCTGGGTCCCGAGTGCTTGCTGAGCCAAGTCAGACACATCTGTGTGTGGATGGAAGTGGGGCTTGGGCTCAAAGTGGGTGAGAACCCAGGCTTCGTGTGCAGTGTAGACATATCCTATGGAGACAAGCAACAGGAAAGTTCAGAGGGAGCAGAGCTGCCCCTGGATGTATCCACGCTCTATAAGAGGATTTGGTAAAAATTAACAGAGGTCCCCAGGTTAGACTCCTGGCCCCTCTTGCCTCCTTAATGATGCTGCTTTGATTTGTCTAATTCTCTTCTGTTTTTGTACGTTGTATGTTTTTGCTGCAGTAGAACAGACTCCCCAGCACTCTGGCAGGAAGGCACTGTGATCTAGTGGTTACAGCAGCAGACTACAAAGTTAAGACCTCTGAGTGCTAGCGAGGGAGTTTGACCAGAGCGTAGGTGCTGAGGATTGGGACTCCTGGGTCCTATTCCTGACTCTGTCGCTGCCTGACCTTGGGCAAGTCAGTTTCCCTCTCTGTAAAATGAAACTAACAATCCTTAGCTCCCACCCAGGGATGGCTCAGATGCTGCCCTGATGTGGCCTAGAGAGAGAGAGAGAGAATGCTTGGAAGACCTTTTAGTAAAGGCCTTTGAAGTCCTTGGATGAAAGGGGTGCTCAAAGAGCAAATCGTTCATGATGAAGAGCTGCACAGCCAGGACGGTGGCCCTTGCAGGGTTACTGGTTCCATGGAAGCCAGCTGGAATACTGGGGATCTAATGTGGAAACACTCCCCTATGGATCTAGGACACGCTTCTCTCTTAAGGGAAGAATAGTGGTTCTCGTGATCTTTTTTTCCCCCTCCATCCCTTTCCGCACATAAGCCTTTGTTGGAGAACTGAGCTCTTCCCAGTGAGTGTGGGGGGCACTCAGGTTCTTAGAGCAGGGCTTGAACCAAAGGCCTCTGGATTTAAAAACATGAGTCGTTCTTGCCTTCGCTAAAGGCTAGGCCCCTTGTGTCAGAAGGGCAGCTGCAATCGTAGACTCATAAACATCTGATGTGGGCCAGCCACTAGAGGGAGACAGAGCCCAACCTTAGTGTACGGTGGATTACTAGAGACTGGTGGTATTGCATGTAAACTGTGAAATCCCCAGTCACCCACCATCACACATGGAAAGTGGAGGAGCAGAAATTGTTAAGCATAGCAAGGGTCCAGTCACAGCCTTGGGAGCCCCTGCCCATGGTCACCGAAGGGCAGGCTCTGGAGGAGAAGCCGGGTCCCCAGGCAGTGACGTGGAGGGACAGTTCTGATGTGCGCATTCACCCCTGCAATCGCGGTAAGAGACCTGCCTCCATGAGTGTATCCAACTCTGAGGCTATACCCCTCTCCTGGCTCTCACACAGAGCCGAATGTACAGAGTCGTGCCTACGGCTTACCCAGCGGACCGTGCTGAGTGCTAGGATTTCAGGGGGCGTATCCCAGGGGCCTTAGCGCCTCGGCACCGGGAGCCACTGTAAGAATTCGTTTGTGGTGTGCGAGAACTAGTCCTTCCCCGGGCAGGTGCAGATTCATTTTTAGCCTCCCCCTTTTCAGCAGCGGCATTTCCACCCTGGCGCGCTCCTCGCTTCTGTCCATTCCAAGCCACGCGTCTGCTGGCTGAGCCACTCCTGCTGGCAGGGGCCTGGCTCGTGTGGCGGAGCAGGCATTCGGCAAGGCGCTGTCTGAGACGCAGAGGGATTAGTTCCTGGCAGGCTGGAGGGGGTGCCCCAGTGATCCCCTCTCTCGCCTTGTCTAGGTGGCTTTCTCAGCTCAGCGCACCTTGTGTTTTGCAGAGCGTGCATGGAGGGGCCTGGCTTGGTCTGAGCTCAGACCCTGCAGAGGGGGTTGGTGGTGGGGGTGAACTGCTCCCTTCTCACCCCACAGCCTGCCCTGCCCTTCCCCCTCTCTTTCCTTCCCTGCTGAGATCCCAGGAGCCCAGCCTCCCCCCTCACACACACACTGGAGTGATGGATCTGCACCAGGGGCTTTGCTCACATAATGCCTCTGTTTGGGGTTGTTAGCCGGGTAGCCGCCAAGCCAGGCTTGCAACCCGTTAGGGAAATGGGTATCTTACAGCCCCCTTGTGGCCAGTCTGGTGTACTGCAACCCCTGCACAGTTCCTATTGGTATCCAGGGTGGTCCTAGCAGGGGCTGGAGGATCCCCTCGGAAACCCGGTTCTTGTCTGTTAGCTTGGCGATGACAGTGGCTGTCTAAGGAAAGAGGGTGCGGGGTGAAGCCCTAGTCCCAAGTTTCTTCTCTGGCAGCCTGGATCGTGCTCATCCGCTCTGGTTCTATTGTTCTGACACATGTTCAGGGTGGGCCCATTGTTGAGGTGTCCGGGCTGGGCCGGCGCTGGGAAGGGTCTGTGTGAGCTCTAGATGGGTAGGGTTTGTGTTGGCTAAAGAGCTAGTTTGACACAAACACCTCTGGTCTCCCAGTGAGACTAGCAGTTGCTGGCAGGTCTCTTCCTCACCAACTCCTTCAAGTTCCTGCTCCTATTTTTAAGGTGGCTTCCTTTTGGGGGACTTGCCTAGCAGTCAGAGCAGGGGACTGGGAGTCAGGACTCCGGGATTCTATTCCCAGCCCTTCAACTGACTTGTCCAAGGCCATATACCAATGTAAACCAGGGTTCACACCTGCTGCCTGCCTCCCAGGGGTGCTGCAGGGTTTAACTGTTGCCCGGGGCTGGAGCTCTTGGGACTTGTTGGCCAAGAGTGTCCCTGAATGGAAGTGAATAGAAAATGCTTACCGCCCCTCCCCCCCCATCAGATTCCCGGCCTACTGCTGTGTATGCCCAGCACCAGTCCCCACGCCCCCTGCCCCTGCTCTGGGAAGTGGTCCTGGTGAGCTGCTTTAATTTCTCTCTCCCGCTAGCTGCCCCTGGGTTTTTGGCAGTGGTGTCCCTGCTGTGGTTCTTCTCCCCAGATCACGTCACAGCCTCTGCCCCGAGGTCCTATACTGGAGCAGTGGGGAAGCGTGTAAGCTTCCCCCCCAATGCCTGTCAACCTGGAGGCTTGGCTCCAGCTGGTGATGCCGCTTGCTCCCTTTCCAGGTGCACTAAGCTTGACATCCTTTCCTCCTGTCTCCTCTCCTTAGGAGCTGGCTAAACGGCAGCTGGGGCCCATCACCACTGAAATCCAGGCGGCCGGGGAGTTCTATCACGCAGAGGATTACCACCAGCAGTACCTGCACAAGACCCCCAAGGGATACTGCGGCCAAAAGGGGACCGGCGTGGCCTGTCCCATCTGCCCCGCAGCTGAACAAGAGTCATGAAGGGAGTATGTCTGGCAGCCATGGCGATCAACACCCGCCAGCAGTTGCCATGGGAACGGAAGCAGCCTCACACCTCATTTTACATGACCATTGGGAGTGCAGGTGGCTTTTCTTTTCCCAGCCACCTCTGGACCCAGCTGGACAGCCTGATTCACAGATGTGACGGGTTCTGCACTGGGCCAACTGCCCCTTGATTCCCTTCCTGCCCTGCGTTAATGGGCAGTTGCCACAGCGCTGGGGATGTCCAAGGGTTTGCTCTGGGTCTGATCCCTGGCAAGGCACCAGGCTTCAGAGATCACCCCTCGGTCCTGGGAGCTTTGCCGTTGCCTCCAGGCTTGGGGGGGTTTAGCCCTGGTCTCGTTGGCCCTGATTGAAGAGGAAGCCTCCCGGAGCTGATCCCACACAATCACCAGCTACTGCTGGCTCCTCGTCCTGATCTGCTCGCACCTATGCCCCCCTTCCCTCCAGAGCATCCTCTGGGGTCACCTCGATTCACTGGGAGGCTGGAGCATAGGAGAGGGGGTAACTTGCTTGCTAACCGCCTGGAGAATTTCCTCGCTCCGTTGCCACGGCCACCGCAGCATCTGTCAGACATGGGCCAGCGGAACTGGCTAGGGGATGGGGCAACCTCAGTGCCACAACGCAAGGCAAGGCCAAGAGTTTTCAGCCTCCTTTGCTGCTGGATTTGGGAGGGTCTGGACAGAGGTGCCCAGCAAACGTGCTGCTCTCTCCACCTGGCTTTGCTAGACAACCCTGGGAAGGCTGCAGCCCTCCCCTGCTGCCAGCTGGAGCCTCACCCCTCACGTTTGGGGAGGAGACACCTCTCATAGGCTGCTGTTTGCTTGGCTGCAGAGGGCACCCTGTCCTTTACTCTCTGCTCTCCCACTGCCTGGTGAGGGCAGGAGCACTGAGGAGTCACTTGCTCCAAGCCCCCGCTGGCCAAAGGAGAGTGATGCTAGCCCAGGGCTTTCCCGCACTCCTTCCTGGGGCTGCACTAACTCATATGGTCCTGGGGGTCCCACCCCTGCTTTGGGATTCCCAGCCAATGGCAGCACCCCCCAGCCACTTAATTCACTTACAGTTCCCCAGGAACCTGCCGTTCCCCCACCCGTGTACATGTCTATTGCTTCCTCAGGGCCTGCTGGTGCCCTCTGAAGAGTTTGCTCCTGCCCCTCACTGCAGTGATCTCCAGCACGGCCTTGCCCTTTAGCTGAGCAGGAGATCATCTTCTTTCCTATTTCTACCTGGCCCTGTGTCCTCCCTGGTCTTTCTAACCCAGCCAGCTCCCTCTGACAAGCTCCCCTGAGCTCCCATCACATGCTGCCCTGCCTACTGCATGTGCCCAAACCCACCACCCGGAAGGCAGATAGCTAGGCACAGATGGGGCTGAGCCCAGCTCCCCTTAAAGGGCCAGCCCCGCAATCTGCCCCCCGTGACAGCAGTAGCCGCCACCCAGTCTGGTCAGTTCTTGGGCACAGAGTCTGGCACTGCACCAGCAGGGAGACCATGGGGCAGAGAGGTGGCGTTTAAATTGATGCTCACACGGGTGGGGCTGGCCTTGTTCTTAATTGGCCCGTGCCATTTTGATCCTCTGAAATGATCCAGCGTCTCCTGGGCTGCGCTGAATAAATGAAAGGATTGATTTATTGATGGCAGGGGCTCGTGTTGTGTCTGGGCTGATGTATGTGGTCGTGTCTCTGTGCTGATGCAGCTCCTCGCCTGTGTCGGGGCATGATGTGGGGAGGGGGGACGTGATGTAAGAGGGGCTCAAGGTAAAAGGGGGAGTGCATAGCGACCTCCAGAAGCCAAAGGCGCTGGCTTGCTCACAGCTCCTGTACCTGGTGTTGCAGTTATAAGCCGTTGCCCGTTCGGCACATGAGTGTAAAGTGCCCATGGCTTTCGTGCTTGGGTAGAGAAATGGGGAGTTAACTGGGCTTCAGATGTAACAAATCCTTGATAGCTCTTGATATCTGCACCCTTAGCCACTAGCAATTTCCCAGTAGGGTTCCTCCTGCCCTGAGAGCACGGACTCCTGCCACTAGAGCCAGAGGTGAATCCCCGTTAGCAGTACAGTGGGGAGCTGGAGCCGGTTCACACCGGTTCGCGCGAACCAGTTAAGTTTTGAAGCAGTTTTAGAGACGGTTGTTAACCCGCTTCCCTGCAGGGGGCGCCGAGGCTTTGCTGGGCTCTGGCTGGGAAGTGATGTCATTCCTCCTCCGGCCACCGGGGGCGCTGCGCTGCGGGAGCCACGTGGGCTGCTGCCTGGCCCTGGGCACGAGCCCTGGTGCTGCTGCTGCTCCCCGGCCCTGAGGCTCCCGCTGCTGCCGGGTGGGTCCCCGGCTGCTCTGCTGGGCCTGGGCTGCGTCCTGCTGCTCGGGCTGCTCCCCATGAGCACCCACCACCCTGCCTCCAGCCACCCCCTGCCCGCAGCCAGCCCCTGCCGCACCCCCTGCCTCCAGCCACCCCCTTCTTCCAGCCACCCCTGCGGCCACCCCCTGCACCCCCTTCCTCCAGCCACCCCCTGCCTCCAGCCACCCCCTGCCTCCAGCCAGCCTCTGCCTGCAGCCACCCCCTGCCTCCAGCCACCCCCTGCCTCCAGCCAGCCTCTGCCTGCAGCCACCCCCTGCACCCCCTGCCTCCAGCCACCCCCTGCCTCCAGCCACCCCTGCACCCGCAGCCAGCCCCTGCCGCACCCCCTGCCTGCAGCCACCCCCTGCCTCCAGCCACCCCCTGCCCGCAGCCAGCCCCTGCCGCACCCCCTGCCTCCAGCCACCCCCTTCTTCCAGCCACCCCTGCGGCCACCCCCTGCACCCCCTGCCTCCAGCCACCCCCTGCTCCCGCAGCCAGCCCCTGCCGCACCCCCTGCCTCCAGCCACCCCCTGCCCGCAGCCACCCCTGCCGCACCCCCTGCCTCCAGCCACCCCCTGCCCGCAGCCACCCCTGCCGCACCCCCTGCCTCCAGCCACCCCCTGCCTCCAGCCAGCCTCTGCACCCCCTGCCTCCAGCCACCCCCTGCCTCCAGCCACCCCTGCACCTGCAGCCAGCCCCTGCCGCACCCCCTGCCTCCAGCCACCCCCTTCTTCCAGCCACCCCTGCGGCCACCCCCTGCACCCCCTGCCTCCAGCCACCCCTGCACCCGCAGCCAGCCCCTGCCGCACCCCCTGCCTCCAGCCACCCCTTCTTCCAGCCACCCCTGCGGCCACCCCCTGCACCCCCTGCCTCCAGCCACCCCTGCACCCGCAGCCAGCCCCTGCCGCACCCCCTGCCTCCAGCCACCCCCTTCTTCCAGCCACCCCTGCAGCCACCCCCTGCACCCCCTGCCTCCAGCCACCCCCTGCCCGCAGCCACCCCTGCACCCGCAGCCAGCCCCTGCCGCACCCCCTGCCTCCAGCCACCCCTGACCCGCAGCCAGCCCCTGCCGCACCCCCTACCTCCAGCCACCCCCTTCTTCCAGCCACCCCTGCGGCCACCCCCTGCACCCCTGCCTCCAGCCACCCCCTGCCTCCAGCCACCCCTGCACCCGCAGCCAGCCCCTGCCGCACCCCCTGCCTCCAGCCAGCCTCTGCCTGCAGCCACCCCTGCACCCCTGCCTGCAGCCACCCCTTCCTCCAGCCACCCTGCCGCACCCCCTGCCTCCAGCCACCCCCTTCTTCCAGCCACCCCCTGCCCGCAGCCACCCCTGCACCCGCAGCCAGCCCCTGCCGCACCCCCTGCCTCCAGCCACCCTCTTCTTCCAGCCACCCCTGCGGCCACCCCCTGCACCCCCTGCCTCCAGCCAGCCTCTGCCTGCAGCCACCCCCTGCACCCCCTGCCTGCAGCCACCCCCTGCCTCCAGCCACCCCTGCACCCGCAGCCAGCCCCTGCCACACCCCCTGCCTCCAGCCACCCCCTTCTTCCACCCTCTGCCTGCAGCCACACCCTTCCTCCAGCCACCCCTGCACCCGCAGCCAGCCCCTGCCTCCAGCCAGCCTCTGCCTGCAGCCACCCCCTGCACCCCCTGCCTCCAGCCACCCCCTGCCTCCAGCCACCCCTGCCGCACCCCCTGCCTGCAGCCAGCCCCTGCCTCCAGCCACCCCCTGCCTCCAGCCACCCCTGCCGCACCCCTGCCTGCAGCCACCCCGCACCGCCTGCCCGCAGCCAGCCCCTGCCTCCAGCCACCCCCGCACCCTCTGCCTGCAGCCAGCCCCTGTCTCCAGGCACCCCCTGCCTCCAGCCACCCCCGCACCCTCTGCCCTGCCTCCAGCCACCCCCGCACCCCCTGCCTGCAGCCACCCCCTGCCCTGCCCGCAGCCAGCCCCTGCCGCATGCCCTGCCTCCAGCCATCCCCGCACCCCCTGCCCGCAGCCAGCCCTTGCTGCACCCTCTGCCTGCAGCCAGCCCCTATCTCCAGCCACCCCCTACCTCCAACCACCCCCGCACATCCTGCCCTGCCTCCAGCCACCCCTGCACACCCTGCCTGCAGCCAGCCCCCGTCTCCAGCCGTCCCCTGCCCCGGCCTGCTTCCAGCCACCCCCGCACCCCCTGCCTCCAGCCACCCCTGCACCCGCAGCCAGCCCCTGCCGCACCCCCTGCCTCCAGCCACCCCCTTCTTCCAGCCACCCCTGCGGCCATCCCCTGCACCCCCTGCCTCCAGCCACCCCCTGCCTCCAGCCACCCCTGCACCGCAGCAGCCCCTGCCGCACCCCCTGCCTCCAGCCACCCCTGCACCCGCAGCCAGCCCCTGCCGCACCCCCTGCCTCCAGCCAGCCTCTGCCTGCAGCCACCCCCTGCACCCCCTGCCTGCAGCCACCCCCTGCCTCCAGCCACCCCTGCACCCGCAGCCAGCCCCTGCCGCACCCCCTGCCTCCAGCCACCCCCTTCTTCCACCCTCTGCCTGCAGCCACCCCCTTCCTCCAGCCACCCCTGCACCCGCAGCCAGCCCCTGCCTCCAGCCAGCCTCTGCCTGCAGCCACCCCCTGCACCCCCTGCCTCCAGCCACCCCTGCACCCGCAGCCAACCCCTGCCGCACCCCCTGCCTGCAGCCAGCCTCTGCCTCCAGCCACCCCCGCACCGCCTGCCCACAGCCAGCCCCTGCCTCCAGCCACCCCCGCACCCTCTGCCTGCAGCCAGCCCCTGTCTCCAGGCACCCCCTGCCTCCAGCCACCCCCGCACCCTCTGCCCTGCCTCCAGCCACCCCCGCACCCCCTGCCTGCAGCCACCCCCTGCCCTGCCCGCAGCCAGCCCCTGCCGCATGCCCTGCCTCCAGCCATCCCCGCACCCCCTGCCCGCAGCCAGCCCTTGCTGCACCCTCTGTCTGCAGCCAGCCCCTATCTCCAGCCACCCCCTACCTCCAACCACCCCCGCACATCCTGCCCTGCCTCCAGCCACCCCTGCACACCCTGCCTGCAGCCAGCCCCCGTCTCCAGCCGTCCCCTGCCCCGGCCTGCTTCCAGCCACCCCCTGCCGCACCCTCTGCCTGCAGCCAGCCCCTGTCTCCAGCCCCTGCCGCACCTCCTGTCCTGCCCGCAGCCAGCCCCTGCCGCACGCACCCCCTGCCCTGTCCACAGCCAGCCCCTGTCTCCAGCTAGCCCTGCCCCATGCCCGTGTCTGCAGCTGGCCCCACGTCCACTGGTGCCCTGCAGTTCCTAGGGCAGTAACCCTGCACACCTGCTTCAATGAGGGGGGCAGGGAGCAGCTGGGACCCACACATGTGCACACCCTAGGGTGACCAGACAGCAAGTGTGAAAAATCGGGACGGGGGTGGGGGGGTAATAGGAGCCTATATAAGAAAAAGACCCCAAAACCGGGACTGTCCCTATAAAATCGGGACATCTGGTCCCCCTAGCACACCCCCGGGGCGTGGCGGGGCCCCACACATGTGAAACGGAGCTCGTTTCTAGCTCAGGCCCATCTTTTTAAAAAAGAACTTTAGGCAGGGTTAACACACACCCGTATTTTCCCGGACAGGTCAGGCTTTTTGGTTCTTAAATTGCCGTCCGGGAGAAATTTTTAAATTTTAAAAATTCCTCCCGGGAAAATACGGATGTATGGTAACCCTGTTGGTACAAAAAATACATACTGGGGCACATCCCTTACATCAGAACTTTTCATAGGGAACCGGTTGTTAAGATTTTGGCAGCTCATCACTGGCAGTATAGAATCTATGATGCCCCGTGGGAAGTTCTGATTCTGTCCAGCAGAGGGCACTACTCCCCAGTACAGTCCCTGCGCAGTAACCGCGCCTCTGTGGCTCTTCCTGTCAGCAGCCAGGAGCTGTGATTCTTGGCCGGGAGGCCGAACTGGTGTGTGGGAGGAGGAAAAGAGCCATAAACCTGACCACCCACCAAAGCTCCCTCGAAAGTCTGGCGGAGCCTGTCTGCCCTGAGTCTCCGTGGAAGTTACCTTGGCTGGGGCCCAGCAAAGGGGACTCACCCTGGCTTACGTTTCATCCCCGGGGGGCACTTAGTAAATTACAGCCGTCCAGCCCCACTGCAGTGCAGCTGCCCCTAGACTTTGAGCCCCAGTTTCCAGGAGAATGGGGGACTTACAGGCCAACCCCCTCCCCCAAAACTATGCCAGAGGCCAGCCTCTTTCCTTAGCACCTCAGCGTGGATCTCATCCTCTTTGCCTGCCCCTGTATCTTCCCCTCTGCTTGAGGCCAGCTTTCCAGG